CTTCCCAGAGTACAGGAATGGCTTGTTCGCACCATTTACGACTTACTGAAACGCACGAATATAAAGTTTTTGTATCATTCTTAAAGTTTTTAAAGACTTCTTTAAGACATTTATCATCAAGCTGTGGATGAATGTTATCTGGAGCAGTAATATCTTCCAGATGATCAAAACTTTGCGATTGATTACCAAAAAAGCTGTAGAACGCCTTGATATATTGAGTTAATGAAGGAGGAAAAACCATTATAATATTTTAATTTTCGTTGACACGAAAAAAACGAAAAATTAGAGAATTTAAAGAAAACTTATTTTTTAAAAGATTGAGATGATCACAGAAATTACGTAGTAAATGATAATACGTAAATGATCAAGTGATCGATCATGTTATTCTTACAATTTCCTTTCACAAACATTCATTTAGGAAAATTTTAATAACATTTACAAATACAATATTTAAAAATAAGAATATAGTCCGTCCTCTGCGGCTGATACATCACCTGATGATAGTAAATCATAATCAGTCGCCACACTGCGTAATACGTAATAGGGAATTTATTACAAATAATAAATAAATAAATGATAAACAGATCTTATTTCAGATTTAGAAATTTACTTATACGTACATATGTATGTACTATGTACGTACGTATGTGCTTATACCTTACGAATGATGACCCAATTAACACCTCTTTCACCCTCCTCTCTTGAATATATAAGCCTTTATTCTTCTTTTAAATCACATTTTCCAGATTGGAAGATTACCATTTATTCGATTATCAAAATTAATATGCCAGAACACATCGTTAAAAAACATCAAGAATTTAAGCAAAACCAGGACGTTAATACAAGTGTTTTACAACTATATCATGGAACCAAACATTCTTGTAATATTAAAGAATTGAATAATATAGATATGTTATGCAAGAATTTTGAATGTTGTACTTGTGGAATTATTCGAAACGGGCCTCAGCTATCTTTGGCGAAAACTCGTGATCTTGGAAGTAAGTATGGCTTGAAAATGTCACGTGTAAAGATGTAAAACACTTGAATTATCGTTACCGTTATACAAAAGATGTTGCGGTGCTGAAAGTAGACTAGCTCTGTCAAAAAATTCTAGGTCCCGTGATATTGATAAAAAATTAGGTATTTTACGATAATATCAGTTATTTCTTACGATCAATCGAGTCGTTTATAGTCTATACTTGCTGCTAGGGATGGTAAAAAAAAAATTTAAAATATGTGATGTTTTTATGATTTGGATATGCGGAGTCTAATTTAAGTATTCGAATCATACTCATCACATGTTCTAAAACTGTGAAAAATGAACAAATAATATATATTCTTATTTATAGATAATATATTTGCGATTGTTTTTTGGGTTTTACATGTAATTAGATCGGACATCAAATAATCGCAGATTAACTAATACTACGTATATGTATATATAGTATTGGTTAATCTGCTATTACGTAGTGAGGAAAAATTAGTAAACCCCGTCGAAATAACTCAGAAATCACGGGACCATATTTTTTCTGGGTTAGTCTATCCCTAAAATTTAGCCTTTTTTGAAAATTGCCTAATTTTTTGATTTTTTTTTTGATTGAAAAGAACTCATCTGGCTAGCACCAACTGCCAACATTTCCCATGAATATACTGGTGTGATTCCTCCTCAGAATCAAACAACTTCAAAATACACGAATTGTTGTGCAGTGTTTTTAATGGATGTAGTTGCACCCGAACCATTTAACGATGTATACTTTGTTAGATCTGAAGAGGTTTGTTTAAAATTTTCATGCTAAATGAGTGTTGCCAAAGGCCGTTCGTGCTTTCAATTATATTTTGTGTTCAGTTAACCGTCTATGGAAAATTATAATAGATTTTCTATAGACGGCTAACTCTAACTATACAGAAAATATAATTGAAAGCCCGAACGGGGCTTTTTCTCTTGGAGCGCTTAAAATGGTTTTTATAACTCATAATAATTTATGTGCCATTTGTGATCTTTGGATAGGCAATCTTACCGCGATATCTCGTTGTTTACGATGCATGAGTTTTTGCCTGATAAAATGATATGAAAGGGTTTTGGTCAATTAATTGCTATTGTTTCAAATAAATTAATATTAGTCTGAAACAAATAAACGCTTATTGATATATAAAAATGTCAAGTAACAATAATTCGATATGTAAACTCAATGATGCGATATGACATCATATCTTTCATGGCAAAAATTGATAAAACTTATTTTGATGCTTAGATTAGCTTTTTTTTTTATATAAATTGATTAAAAGAAAAAAAAGAAAAAAAAAAACTCATGACTGAAGAAAACGAAGCTATTGAATTATACAAGATTGACGAAAAAGATACTCGAATAGAAGTATCAACGCGAAATGATGTTACTCAGGGAAA